AACGTACGTACTACGTATAATACTACTATACTACGTACGTCTTACTACTACTTACTTATTATAACTAACTACTATATATATACTACTCTCTCTCTCTCTCTCTCTCTCTCTCTCTCTCTCTCTCTCTCTCTCTCTACCATAGTTGTTGAGATCGGGAGCACAGGACTGTAATAGGCTAGAAACTCCCTATAGTGGTGATTGATGTCCGTAACCCTGAATTTTAGGGATCTCGAACGCAAAATGTTGGGGTAGCAGGATCCCAACCTTTTTGGATCGCATGATAAATTCTCAAGGTTCAAGACCCATTTGGCATAAGCATCTCTTTTCTCTCTGAAGAACAAATAAAACATGATTTTGCAGAAAAATTACTTTTCTTTCTTTTTTAATGGATATACATTTAAGAATTGTTTTCCTATAAAAGATTAATCTAAAATGAGTCTGGAATATATCAACTCATCCCTAACAGATTAGGATTCTGTTCCCTCCATATGAGAGCAAGATCCACCCAGGGTACAGCTCCGGAAGCATGTACTCACTGGGATCTCTACCAAGTGGGGAGATCCCAGTAACAATGACACACACACACACACACGTACATCAACCTCAGACATTAGTGTTGAGCCCCTTAAGCCTTAGGCTTGATTGCAGGCAAAAAAGGTCCAGCTACATACCATACACATTCCAGTTTTCAATCCTTTGGGTTCATCACATAAGTGCGCCAAAATCATCCTTCCCTGTCAACACATTTGTTTTCTGATCAGTGGCGATTAGCAATTTGAGGAATACCACAACTTATAGGAAAATTCTAGCAGTATACATAGATCAAAAGTGCGCATGTGAATGCAAAATCAAAATTTTATGGTTAAAGATGGCCATGTTACATGCCCCACAAGGCCCAGAGGCTGAAGGCAGAGCCAGTTGCCTTCCCTAAACTTTCTAAGCAAATCCTTGTTCCATATGAACATAATGTTTTAAGTATGGGAAAAGTTTATAAAGAACCGTGGCTCTAAACAATCAAATTTGAGCCTATCTCAAAAATTTCACTAGAAGAGGTTGTTTTGATGTTCAAATATCTTCAAATTGATCATCTCGACATCAAGAAGTATGGACACGAGAAAAAAATGGTTTCAAGTTCTGGAAATAGTGTATTTCGTAACGCCTTTTTGGACCGTCAATTTTCAAGTTTTCATAGATCTCTCGATCTACACTATTTTTGAAGCTTTAAACTTTATAAATAAAAATAAAAATATATTTTAAAGCTATCACAAAGATTTCAAATAGTGAAACCACATTTTTGGATACTATTTGAAGGTAGGCTCTAATTTGATTGTTTAGAGCCTAGACTCTATACAAACCGCACCCTTTAAGTGGAAACATGGAAGTTTAGAAGTCTAAAAATTTAGGGACAATTTATATGCTAATAAACAAGCATTCAGAAGAGGCTTATAATTCATGGATCCATAGAAACTCATGAACTACATGACCAGCAGAAAAAGCAGACGTGCTTGCTGACTTCATAGAATTTTTTCTTTTTGAAGTTGTTAACGGTGCTATATTAAAACGGAGAAGAGTAAAGACTCCATAAAATATACCCACCAGATAATTAATGTGAGAAGGATAGGGCCCCCAAAGCTGAAGGTTATCATTTCAGCAATAATGGGTTGGCTTCCCGACCATATGCAGCATAAGGCTGGGGGCTGCACCTTTGACATATATTAAGTCCATGGAGTTCTGAAGGCCTTTTTCCTATTCATGCAAATGGAGGCAACTTTTGACATGACCATCAACTTGGCATGTTGCAACCACATACACTTAGATCCATATGTAGAATTAGAAAAGAGGTTGTATACCATGATGGCATTTTTCAGACAAACAGTAAGTGCTATTACGGTAGACTTCAGGAAAAGAAAAAGATAACGAAGACCATGTCAAAATAAGTCACAAATCCCTCAAAGATTCTATTTATGATAGTTAGGTTCAATCATAATTGTTGGGAACGGGATCAGGAACAGTTCCGGATCAGGGGGGAATCGATGTATCGAGGCTGCCCCGAAGCTCCTTATGATAGGGATTGATGTCTGTACAATATCAAATCTAAGAAACTTGATCCTCTGCCTAGGGATTCAGCTCCCCAATTACATAGGATCAAGTTCCCCAATTAGATAGGAAAAGCACACATGACCATCGACTTGGCATGTTGCAACCACATACACTTAGATCCATATGTAGAATTTGAAAAGAAGTTGTATACCATGATGGCATTTATCAGACAAAGAGTAAGTGCTATTAGACTTCAGAAAAAGAAAACGATAATGAAGACCGTGTCAAAATAAGTCACAAATCCCTCAAAGATTCTATTTATAACAGTTAGGTTCAACCATAGGTGTTGGGAATGGGATCAGGAAAAGTTCCAGGTCAGGGGGGGATCGATGAATCGAGGCTGCCCAGAAGCTCCTTATGATAGGGATCGATGTCCTTACAATGTCAAATCTAAGGAATTTGATCCTCTGCCTAGGGATTCACCTCTCCAATTAGATAGGATTGAGTCCCCCTATTAGATAGGAATAGCACCATAGCCTAGTCACTACATGCTCCTTATATGGGTTTTTAATGATATCTTCTACTGTATAGTTCTCTAGCATGTGCACTCATGGTGTTGCCTGCTAATACACCTGGCTATCTGCCCACGATTCATCAGTTGAAAAAACTGATTAAGTAGGCTGGATTCGATTATAGTATTAAATATAAGAAACGCGATCCCTATGTTCTAGGGATCGAGATCTGAAATTCTAAAAAAGAGATTCGTAGAAGAACCCTTATTGTGATTTTGGGATCGAGCTCCATAATGGATCGCCTACCAAAGTAGGCAATCCCATAGTGGTAGACGATCCCAGTAACTATGGGTTCAACATATACGGGGTTCAGAAATGTCCAAATATAAAAGAGAAATAACATGTTTTTCGTAAAATTAATGGAAGCAGACCAACTGAGGAAACCATCTCATGGATAACAGAGGTCCTTAATGGGTGAACAAGATTGCCATTTGTGCCATCTAATTTTCACCTAGCATTGCAGCATGTTGCACAGATTTGGGCTGACTTCCTAGATATAAGCTTCCTGAAATCCATAATTTTGCACATACCAAAGTACAACCACCAGAGAAAGCAAAGTGCTCTGTAGCTGAGGATACATGCTTCATTACTAAAAAAGAAAAATCCCCTAGTTTCCTGAGAAGAGACAGTGGAAAAAAAAAAAAAATTGCTGAAATAAATAACATAAAAGATTTCTTGAGGTCCGTGACCTATCCAGAAGCTCACCAATTAAGCTGTTACATTTAAGAATATACAAACTCCCATTGACCTGTGATCACCGCAGGAATTCATTCCTATGAGGTGAATATAGTGCACCTTTGGCAGTTCTACTTCATATTATTTAAAGATTAACTTTCTTTGAAACCCAAAGGAAAAAGAATGAATCAAGTTGCAGCAGAAATACAAGCAAGAAAAACATACATAAACACTTTTTTTTTTTTGAGAAAAGTTCACATATAAACACATTTCAAGGCAACGGAATATTATCGCCAATGAGAGAACCTCTCCACCCACTTCCTCTTGGCAAGAAAATTAAACATCACAGTAGCTTTCCATTAGTGACGATTTTGGTGGAAGCATTGATGTCATATGAATGTCTTACCACAAGGAAGCCAAATGCAGATCCAGTTCCCAAAACAAGCAAATATGGTTGAGTGTGCACGATATCAGATGGTGATAGGAAAGCCCTGCAGGAAGGACACATTGGATATTCATGCCAGTTGGTGATTCCCATTTAAAAAGCCAACCGTCAGGCAAGAAAGACAATGTGAATTTAAGATATGCACCAGGTTAAAACTCCTCCCAAGAGCGCGATGAAAGGAATTAGCTAAAAAGAGACAAACAAATTAGTTATTATTCATCAATGCAAAACCAATCAGCAAATTATCTATGGGCATGTTTACTTACCATGGCTAATGCTAACAACATGCTTCCCCGTCTGGCTTGAACTACTTTGTAGACATTGTAAACACTACATAGGGAAAAACCAAACAAATAAAACCCAGATGTATTAAATTAAACATTTCAAAGAAAAACAAGCAGTTAGAAAAAGCTTTCTTTTTTTTTATGGAATTTGGCCCGTGAAGAAATTACATACAGACAATGAAGGTATGTAAGTTGATTACATGCACAAAAGAATTCTAGGAGAATGGAAAACTAACAAATATGCACCAAGTGGTGGTATTAAGCCTGATATTGTGAAAACTGATCCTAGAAATGCTAACTCACCACTCATCAGAAATGGAGAAGCCTTCTGCTTCTACTGCTATGGTTCCCAAGTACTCCCCAATGCCCATAATAATATGCATGAGGTAAGCTCTCTAGTGTTAATTTAACAGTATTTCAAAATATAAACCCTATAAAGCATTAACCTCAACTATACCCAACATGAGAGTGCAAATGGATAGAAAAACCGATCCATGGAAATATCCACTGAAGATGGAAATTCAGCGAGTAATTATTTCATCAGAAAGAGAACAATGGCTTGGAAATTATATCATATTTCTAAAAATTGCCCCTAGAGAGGGCCATCTTTCTCAATGCAAGTCAAGAGAAGGCTGTGATCTTAAGGGTTTGGCAAATCATCCAAGGCTTGGTTTTAAACAAGTTTTAAGAGGTTGGATACGAGGATCAGAAAAGAGAATAGCTTAAGAGGATACAATATTAATAAGTGGACAAATTGCGGATTTGCCCTTGCTCATATTCAGATGTAGACACAAACAATAAGTAATTCTCCTCATCAAATTTTTAAACACCAACAGTGAGTTATTTTATTATTTACAATGAGGTTGATTGAATTTCTGGCACATGGACAAGCCAGATGGTAAAATGGCATCCCCTCCCATATAAATTCAACAAGGTAGGAAGAATGAGAGCTTATATAGAAACTCTGGAATGATTAACAGAGAGTTACCATCACCCATGTGCCTAGCATCTTTAGCAAGATTAGTCCCCAAGATTTAATCAAATTTTATCATGGAATGTGTTCTATTGCAGATTAAGTTTCCCAAAGGTGGGATTCAAAGTTGGAGGGGTCTATGAGGGTAAAAGATTGATTTTAAATATACTCCATAAGACTATTATTTTCAGCAAGAAAGTGCAATAATCCCTTCAAAGTTAAAACATTGTTAAAGGCATGTTATTACTCAGTCCATTCCTTCCCATAAGACCAAATGAAACAATCTCTCATAATCACCATATCAAATACACTGCTTTTGTGAATTCGTCTTATGTTGTACAGTTGCAATAATATTTCTCTCCTAAATTCCATATCAAATAAACTTCTGTAGGGCATTTGTCTTATGTCATACTGATTATTTGAAAAAAGAAAGTTATATCTTGGATGCATATCAGAACATCTGACTATTTCAGATTGCTAGTGCCAAGGGAGAGGGGGGCCACAAAGTATCAGACAAGGGGGGAAATATTGTCTGGAAACCTAATTATAACTTTGTTTATTACTGACAAAGGGCTTCCAACCATGCCCTCTTTCCATTAGATCCTTGGCCAAAGTCAAAAATTGAAATCAACAATGTGTCTTGGTATATCTTTTATGCTTTTTTTTGGGTGATTCAGTGGGGATGATGGGTCCCTACCCATAAAGGGTTGCAACATGTGTCTTGGTATATCGACCAAAGAAAAGTAAGGTAAGACTAGCTCAGAATAAACCATAGGACTATGATGCATGGTGCATGTCAACAGTTGCATGCCCTCCAAGCAAAATAAATTCATACTAGCAAGAGAAATTACAAGAAGACCTCACTTACTTGAATGCTACCGTTGGTACCACACCACAAACAATCATAAGAAATAACACAACGCCATACATGGGAACTTCTGCATCTGGAAAAAACAGAAATTTTCAAAATTAGAAATTAGTGACACGATAATCCCAATAGAACATGACATGCAAAATTTGCACAAGCTATCAAGCTAAAAATATCGACAATAGAAAAAACACTTACAAGACATTCAAACAATCGAAGCAATAATGTTATGGACTTAATAAGCCCAATAGCTGCAATATGGAAACTGGAAGTGTTGGACTACAGATACTTTATAGGCTGGTTGAGGAGAGCTGCCTGTTAACATGTCGGTTTTTGGGTCCTCAAAAACCAGAAATATCTTCCTTTTGGGCTCATATAAGTCAACCACAGTAATAACCACATAATTATAGTCAGTGTTGCATCACCATGGCCAATACTGCATAACAGTGGTTAATAAGGATAAGGTCAAACTGAATAATTAATGCGAAAGATTCAACCAAGGCCTAAACTGCCCATGGCCTAAAACCGCTTAACCAAGGTCAGTATAGTCATTGTAATGTCCAACGCTGAAACAGAACTTAGCCCTTTGTGTTCTACAGTTTATCATATAGAGTTCCCATAAAGGCAATCTCAAGCTTAGCCAAGATTTGAAAGGACCCATTTGCTTCAACCATAAGATTAGGAGGCATGAGATGCCCTCACTATCTTTGAGTCATTTAATGTGCCCGACTTGGAAGATCCAAGATGCCGTGGCGAGAACACCCTCAGGGTACAACCATGTCCAATGAAGCATTGTATAGGTCCTCTAAGTTGCGCTCTCATAGAAGTTACTGAAAAAAAAAAAGTAGACCACACTTGTTTGACCTTGGACAAGACCAGCCTGGACAAGCTTCGACTTGGTCCAAGATTAGAATCTCATCCTTTTGGTTCCATTTTGCTGATCATTGAGGTTTTTGACCCTAAATTTATTCCTCCTTGCCTATGGCTTCATGTGGCTAGTTCTTTTTGCTCGCTATTCCTCTCTTGGACTGCAGCATCCCCACCCTCCCCCCTCGCCATGTTTCCTCCTCCCTTGCTGCTAGGCCGGCGGCACCTCTTCATCCTTCTTCGGTGAACCATAAGCGTCAGGATGATTGGACGGTTGCTTCCAGGCATCAGCATTGCGACCGTCAACCTTTTCGTTCGGGGCCCCTGTGATTCCTTGAATGCGGGTCTCCCAATGTTCGTTCCCCCTGACCTTTCCCTGGCTGATGCCTCATGTCCCTCCCTCGGTAATTTCTTCGCTGCCACGCCACCCCATCTGCTCCCCCGCTGCCCTCTCTTGCTTGTCATCATAGTCCCCCCTTCCACATCCGTACCTGCCCTTATCCTCGTGTCATCCTCTTCTCTCTCTCCCTCCCCCTCGTTCCCTCTCTCGCTTCCCTCCTTTCCCCCCTCTGCTTCACCCCTTCCCCCCCCCCAGCCAGATGCCATGTGCCCTCCTATCTTCACCCATCCGCCACCCTAACCTCCCCATTGCTTCTCCCCAAGGTACGTCCTTCTGACCTCCTGTGCCAGGTGTCGCTGACGGAGTCTCTGCCCCCACCTCCGACTGTCAACCTGTCCATTCCCTCATCTTTTCCTAGGGATCCTTACCATGCCCCTCTTCTACTCCATCATCCCATGCTTTAACTTGCCTTTCTGCCCCCTCGTCATCCTCTTCGACTCCTTCCTTGCTGCCTTTTGACTCTCAACCTCTAACCCTTGATACCTTCACAGGAGCGACAAGCTTTACCCCTCTCCTACGTCACCTCTGCTTATTGACTAGTCTTCCCTTCACGCTCTTTCTCCTCCTCGCAGCTCTGTCTTCAAGCAGTTTCAGCCCCCCTTTCCCCCCTCTGTTGCTTTACCTTCGCCACTTGACCCTTCACCACCTTATCCCTCTTCTGGTCGACCGGAATCCATTCCTTTTGATCCCGGGGTAGCTAAAGATCCTCCTAACATGGCTTTCTCTCCCCCCTCTGGTGACTATTTTTGTCCCTCTGGGGATCTAGTGTTATGACGTATTGATGACCATTTTTACATTCCTCTCCAACCTTTGGTTGAACCTTTCACCCCCCCTTCTCCCCTCTCGGCCTACCCTATGCCTCTTGGTCTGTATATGCCTGCTCTTTCAAGCCAACGCATCCCCCTGTTTGCTACCCTTGTTCCTATTCCACTCTCTTCTCCTGTTTTCCCTTGGGTTGCTTCTCCTTTGTGCACCTGGCCAGGTCTCCCCTGGTCCTTATTTCTTGCTTGTTTCTCCGTTCTCTTTGCTGCCTCCCTCTCGTTATGACAAGACCTTTGGTTCCCCCCCCCTCCGTCTCTTGCTATTATTCCCCGGCCCAATGTTGTGCTTGCTACACTCCCTTCTTCTAAGCCGCTTTGCTCCCCTTAGCCTGCTGGCTCTCCCTCCCTTCTTTTGCGCCCTTCTCTGCACGACGAGTCCCCTCGCCAGTTCTCCCCAACCTTCCCCCCTGCAGCGAGCCTCTAGTGCCTCTTCCTTTGAGGGAAACTGTCTAAATGCTCTTGCCTGCCCCTCTGGGAACCCCTCTTCATCAGACAACCCTTCTTCTGACCACTCTCCCCACCCCCCGATGGGCTCGTCCTTTGTAGATGGCATGGATGCTGCGCAAGGCAGGATCCAAAATGTGCTCAAAGTCATGAGCTTCCCCTACAACGGCCCTAAAGGCCAATTCCATGTTTTTTTCAAAGCTGATACTCAATCTAGGTTTTAGGTAAGTAGAAAAGGGATGCGAGAGGTTTCAAATCTTGCTTGTAGCATTAAATATGACAAAGTTTCCTCTTTCTCTCTCCCGCTTTCCCCTGTAGTGGGTGATGCTCCGTTCTCTTCTGTTTTTCTGCCTAGATGCTCCCTCAAGAGCTCCCCCCTCATTATTTATTCCAAATGATTTTTGTCTCTTGGAACATTAGAGGGATGGTATGCCTCACAAGAGAAACACGGTCAGGGACTGTTGCCTCAAGCACCGCCCTTCGGTTCTTGCTCTTACGGAAACCAAACTACCTTCCCCCACACTACTTACAAGTTAGAGAAGTGTGGGGTCGATGCCCTTGCTAGTGGGAGTCTTTACCCACTGTGGGTGCCTCAAGGGGCATATGGGTCATCTAGGCCCTACTGCCCACTCTTTGTCGTTCTCTCATATTGCTTCTTTCTCTGTGTCGCTTGTTCGCTCCCGTATCTTTGATGTGTTGGAATGGAAGTTTAGTGTTGCTTACAGTCCGAACTCTGACTCCCTTAGACCTCTATTTTGGGACGAACTTAACCTTGTTGGGCTGGTTAGACGGTTTCAAACTTCAGCGCAAACTTCAACTGTTAAAGGGGCATCTCAAATCCGGGAGTAGTTTGTTGCCTGGATCTTTTATCGCGCAGATTCTTCCACGCTCCAGGTTATTCAAGATTTGGGTCTCTTGGAAGAATCCAGGCTTCTTTTACCCCATGAAATGCAACTGAGGTTTGTTCTCAAGATTGAGTATTACTTGATCCTCAAAAAAGAAGAGATCTTTCAACATCAGAGATCCAGAATGTCCTAAGCCTTTTCAACTGCCAGTGGGTCTTGCCAGCCAATGTACCCCAGCACTTAAACTCCCTTCAACCTTTCCTGTGGCCTAAAGCAGGCATCTCCCTTAGGAAGTCTTCAATGGCAACAACGGTTTGGGCCTTGTGGATCGAGTGCAATAACAGGATTTTTTGGGACGAACACTTATCAGGGGAAGGCCTTTTCACCAAAATCAAATCCTCGATAGTTTTCTGAGCTACCAACCATAAGAGTTTCAAAGGGGTCCCACCCTCTGCCTTCTACCAAAATTCGGAGGCCATTCTTCTTTCGAGCCCTAATCATGTTCTTCGGGCTCCTATTTTGGAGCCCTCGTGCCTTGGGACAATTCAAACTCAATTTCGATGTCTGTTCTCTGGGTAACCCCAGCCCATCGGGAATTGGCTCACTCATCAGAGACCCCAATGGTGCCATCATCGCTTTGGCTTCCATGAACATCAGCCATGCCGAATCCACCACTGCTGAAGCTCTTGCTCTGCTGGACGGAGTTAGGCTACTACTACCCTTCAGGCATACCCCTATTGTCATTGAGGGTGACTCAAAGAAAGTTATTGGTTGGACGTCTAAAATTTCTCCCTTCCCTTGGACTCTAGCTCACATTGTTTATGAAATCGATCAGCTTTGCAGGGATAGGCACATCTCATGGAAGTATATTTGGAGGGAATCAAACCAGGAAGCCGACACCCTAGCAAAGGACATAGCTCACTTGGTTAACTTGCAGATTTTTCAACGGCCCATTTTTGGATGGCTCCTAATGTTATGACATTGTAATCTTTGTAAGAATAGCCTTTGCTAAGTTTTTTGTTGTTCATGTTACTCCCCTTTGGGGGCTGTTGTACATAAGGCAGCCGTGTGTGGATTGCGAATTTTTTGGGTCGGTAATTTCTTTTCTAATTCAATACAATGTTAACATAAAAAATAAAAAAAAAACGTCATGAAAGAGTTATATGTGAGGGGCATGGGGTAGAGCGATTAGGCTGAAAAGAGAGTGAGCACCATTACCGTGGTGAAAAGTCACGTGACTCCATTAAGTGCACCAAACAGTCATAACCACGGAAAAGGTTGAAAAACACTGCTCACTGCAGCCAACAGTTGAAACCAAGGCTAAAGGTAGGGGAACATGATCAATAAGAAGAATTTACTGCAGCTAGAAATGCAAACCAATTCAAGGTCGATCAGAAATTTGGCCAGCAAAAAGAGTAGACTTCAGCCCAAACCTCAACCTCAGCCTCAACAATGGTGACAGCCTGGCTTGACTCAGTCAGCCAACAGCACATGCATGTGTGTGTGCGTTTTAAGCACACATATAAATGGAAAGACACCCAGAAAGCCCCAGATGTCTCTCTTCCGAGTTCCCATTGGTCCAAGGAAATCTCCTACTTATAAAGCCACACGGAAACTTGTCTCCAGGCAACCTCAGACTTAAAACAGTTTTTCTCAACTTTGTCTTACATCTAAAACTTCCCAAACAAAGTGCAAAATTCCATTTGTTGTTTTGAGACACTTCCCAAAACTATTTGAGACACTTCCCAAAACTAACATAGCATTGCTAATGTAATGGCATCACATTGAGCTCTGTATAACACAAACAAAAACTGCAGGGGAGACTTTTTTCCAAATCAATTGTAAAACAGGGATAATGAGAGGTGTTTTGAATGTCCGCTCAATGGAAAATGGGCATGGCATAACCATACCCTGCTGACTGCCATTGGAACATTAGGGATAGTGCATGGTAATGTATTCAATACCACTTTCCATATGCAGCCTTAATGTTGGCAGAAAGAAGAAATTTAACTCACTGTAAAGATCCATGAATAAAAATCATAACAGCTTCCTTGTTTCAAACATGTAAAATGGCTTCAGGTAGGCTTCAAGGCAGACATATAACTGAAACTTGTAAGCATATCTATCTATCTATCATAATATAATTTCAGATACACATACCGACTTTAAAGACTACGAGATAAAACTAGAGTTCTATCATTTTCTTTTTCTTGGAAAAACAAGTGTTTTATCATTATAAATAAGAATTTTATGTTGCGACAAAAATATTCCATAATGAATCATTCAAAAATCAAAACAGTTACTAGAACTAGGAGTAGAAACTCTAAGTTCTAAAGAGAACACTTCGAACACAAGTACATTTAAGTGTTGAAACTAAGCACGTGTCAATAAAATGCAGAAGAATAACAAATGCATGCACATCACAGTACCTAACCTTGATTCCAAAAATAAGAGGGCAAATTGACCTAATTTATGTATCAAATTAATTACTAATTACAATCTTCATAAAAAGCAATGTATTGCCCTAGCATAGTAGATACATTTCAACAAACAATCCAACCATAAAAATCGCATATGATGCATAATTCTAACAATCTTTATGGGGCCTACTTAAAGTCGTAAAACTATACCAGGAATAAAAGTAAGCCAACTCAAAAAGGGTAGAGACTTCCTGAAATCCTGCACCCACCATTGTGCACCTAAAATTACAACGAGAAATCAGAGATAAGACCAACATTTTTCACAATACGTATCAGCAAACTGCACGCAAGCTTCTGAAATCGATTCTCTTTTTTTTTTTTGACAGAAAGTAACATAGGTTCTGAAATCCTCTCTCTCTCTCTCT